CCTACGGGGCCCTATCTGCAACAAGGTCGGCCGCCCTAAGTGAAGGCAGGCACGACAGGCCCTTCGGGCCTCATTCTTCAGGGTACCCCGCAACGGGGAAATTCAGACAGTTGCGTTGCGCCAGTTGGTTGAATGAATCCAGGCCCTGGGCCGCCTGTGTAAATGAATGTGAAGCAGGCCCTGGGCTGGATACGGGTACCGGGCCAGACACAGGCCAAAAGCAGTTGGGCGCATGCAACCACTTCAGGCCCAAGGCCTGCTCTCTTCGTGACTGGGCCTGTGCCTACCAGGGCCTACCGGAAGCTTCCTGGACTGGATGCAGGCAGGCCACTTCGATATAGGGAAGGGCCTGCCTCCTCATTCGGCATTCGGGTGCTGGCTGCATGCTGCGTGAGCGCTGCTGCGCAATCCGCTGGCTGGCTGGCACTCACGCTCTCACGGGCGAGTAGGAGGGAGCACGCAGCCATAGCCAAGCTGCGCTGCTGTATGCTAGGTGAAGCGCAGGGTGGTCCTTGGGGTGCTAGTGGCATCTGTGCGGTGTGGATCGGGGTTGTGAGTGTTACGAGAGACATACATGGTGCTGAAGTGTGCGACATTGGTCGCCATATGCTCATACTTCGGGAACGCTGTTGATGTCATCATTCTGCTTCGTAGTATAGGCTAGATAGGATCTGCCACCTGTAGTCTGGGCGCCGAGCGCCAATAGGATATCAACTCTGGTTCGTAGTTGATGATGATGGGACTACTTCAGCATTGTCAATTTTGAACTCTTGGTGTGTTCTTATTTGGTGTATCTCGTGATGCCAGTCTGCTGTGGTTCGAGGTCAAAACTATCTGGGCTCATATGTATGATGCGGTTTGATTGCTGAAGTTCGCTAATGCTCATCTTCCTTGCATCTCTCTGTGTGTGTGTGTGTGTGTGTGTGTGTGTGTGTGTGTTATGCGGGCGCGTGATTTTATGTTTTCAGGGACGCACGGTGATGCACTTTTGATGACCTAGGGCCGCGCTCCACTACACCACATGCACAAAAGAGAAAAAAATATGGCAGTGTATCTTCCCATATTCTAGGCGAACATTCATTCTCACTTGCACACATGGTGAGCAGCGGAGTGAGGCCCCTACCACAAAGACATAGAGAGGACTGGGGGAAAGAAAAAAACTTGTGCACGACAACGGCTCTTGCCAAAGACAACGAAAGCAACAGAAAAAAAAAAAATGTTTGTGACGGAGTTTGCGCGGCAGCAGTACAGATAACAACGAAGCGAAGCGAAACCCGTCTCCAAGTGTTCTTACAATCCAACGACCTGCGCTGCAAGATGATGCAGTCGATCATCACATACTCTCATTGCTGGCTTCCACCTAACTGCGCAACGTAGTTCCTCGCCACACAATGAAGAATTCGTTAGAAACCCGTTCTGCATGCACCCACGACCGTATATGAAGGCAAACCTATGGACTGGAACCAAAGTTGAACTCAGTTTCAGTGTGCAGTGGACCATCAGCCTGTCTCCAAGTGTTCTTATAATCCAACGACCTGCATTGCAAGACAATATGGCCGATCAACGGATATCACATGCCCTCATTGCTGGCTTCAACATAACTCCTTAACGTCATTTACTGGCGCACTATGAACAATTTGTTAGAACCCCCCTCTCCATGCACCCGTGACCATAGATCATGGCAAAACTACGGGCTGGAACCAAAGTTATACTCAGCTGCAGCGCGCAGTGGACCATCGGCCGTGCCCCCCCCCCCTGCCCATGCGCTATAAGCGTTAGGATAAGATGGTGGAGGAGATGACGAGGAGGATGACGAGGGGGATGATGATGGAGGAGGAGGATGACGAGGGGGATGATGATGGAGGTGATGAGGGATAGATGACTCTGGTTCCAACTTGTGCTTATCTTCTTGTTCTTCTTCCATTCTCCATACCTTTTTCTCTCTTGTGAGTATTGGAATGGCATTGTCTCTTTGTGAGCTTTTGCATTGGGAGTTCACCAAGGATCATAGCACAGGGGTGGAGCAGGGGTAAATCCTTCCAAAGAAATCATTGCCACTGCCACGGGGTCCCTTGGCCATAACGAAGGGAAGCATGGAGTGGGTACCCCACGTAAGGGACTCTGGACCTGTTTTTCTGCAATAAATGTAAAACTCTGCTAAAAAAAAAAAAAAAAAAAAAAAAAAGAAGGAGAGAGAGAGAGAGAGAACAGATCAAACTCCCATTTCCCGCCGCCCAGATCACTACCGATTCAGTTGAGCTTGGCTTTTAGCACGGTGCCCACAGCCGTTAAGCTTTGGTATTCTTCTTCTATTGTCCTTCATTCTTTTCTCTCCTGAGTCTCATTCCACTTCTCCTGGCATTGCCTCACAGATGCATTTTGCTTCATGAATTGGACAGGGGAACCATAGCACAGGTAAGAAGTTCACGATTGCTTGACATTGCAAGTTCAAGGATTGCTATTCATAGCAGTTGATGTAGGTATCCTTTCAAATCTTCTTTCAGAAGGTGAGGCAAAAAGAAAAATGCCACTAAACGTTGGCTTAGAAACTTTTGCCAGCAGAGATACCTTCAAACCTGGGCAATCATGGTTCTTTCAACCTACCTTGCCTCCATCAACTGAAGCTGACATTGATGATGTAGGAGAAACACAAGAGCTGGCCTCCATCGGGCTTGAACATTGACTCGTGATTTCCCCACTGTTATCGCAACCTGCCCCTCTGCTTGTCATCCCGGTGGTGGCACTGACTCCCCCACCTCCATCGAAGACACCTTCCTTCTTGCTCTGAAAGCTCTTCTCCGCCTTCAAGTTGACAGATGCTGGAGCTCCCCGTTCCCCTGAAGAAGATCTTATCACCATAGGCGATGTCTGCTTTGTATCCTCACACAGTCGCAGCGGTTTTGGATAGAAGTAGAGAAACGGTGAGGGAAAGTCAGAGTCGAGAGTGGGAACCATCTGATAGAAAAACCAAGCGGACAGAACAGATAGCAAAACATTGTAAAGGGAGAAGGAAGTGAAGAGGGCGAGAACAATGGTAAGGAATGAAGGAAATAGCAGAGGCAACAGAACAACAAAATTAGGCTGGCAATCTCAACCTAATCACACCATTGTGTGCACCCTTACATAAATGTACTTGTAACATGGAACTGTCACTCAAGCATACCAAACATTTACTTGACAGGTCATTCAAGAAGCTTGCAACACAACAATCATGGCACTCCTAGCTAGGCCAGTGCCACTGTTGGATGACAAATGATGTCGATCCCACAGCTCATTCCTTCCTGAATATGGATACCTAGGCTGCTTCCATAAGCCGCCCAGGTGCACTGCATCTGTACAGGACCCCCCCTAGTGACCTTGCCCTGCACAGGACCCACTCAGGCAACGTCCAAGGTGCCACCCCACAAAATCATTACGGAAATTTCAAACTACAAGTCTTAAATCACAGAATTGTTTTTGACAAAAATGAAAAAGAGAAAAAAAAGGAGGTTAAGGCTATGCTGGGCCGTCGCCCGGCTGGGCACGCCCAGCCAGGCACGCCCGGGCCAGCTGGGCAGGGGAAGGCAGGTCAAAAACGAGGCCAGGATCCCAAGGAAAAAAAACTGACTTCAGGCCAGGACTGTGCTTGGCCTGAGGAGTCAGAATCCGGCCTTGCCTCACCCAGGGGGGGTCGGGGGGTTTAAACAGTGACTAAAGGGGTTTAGATTCTTAGAAGGGTAAATCTTACCTCATGTTTCCTCATTTATTTTTATCTTAAAGTTAATAAGGAATTTCGAGGGGACCCTCAGCCAAAAGTTGTTTGTATTTCTCAAGGGCCCTTCTATTCTGGGGGGCATCAGTCCGGTTGCTTATCACCGGCAAGCAAGTTTTTTACATCCATCAAAGGAAGGTGGGAGAGCAGACAAAAGAAAAGCAACGACCCGCCCTTTGTGGTGCTAGACGCCTATCAAGGGGGGGGACCACTGCAGAACGTCCCACCCCACAAGCCTTGGCCCTTCTTAGGGGGTTGAGCTGCAGGCCGGGAAGCTTATTAGCCGCACCCAGTCATGCCACAGGTCAAAACCCGGAGAGTCCAGGCAAGGGGGGCGTCTGTGGTAGTTCCTCAAGCCGCCTGTCAACCTACTGATCTCATACCTCTATCACCTTCATAGCCTCTACCATCCCTGTTACCCTTTATCTGCAAGTGCCCCCATTCTATTGTAGCCATTCTACTGGGTGTTCCTTCCTTGTGCGTTCAAGTGCCACTCCCTATTCCTTAACCGTTGCTGTGGCCTACATGTCTTCGTATACCTTCATAACCTTTTACACAACATATTTTTTTTCCGGATGTTTTAGAGTTTTATTTACTTATTAAATTATTTATTTATTTTTTATATTATGAATTGGGGCTGCCCAGGACCCTGCCCGGGCCCTTCCCGGTCTGGGCCACCCGGGCGACCTTCCCCCGGCCGGACCGCCCGGGGACCAGCATACTGTTAAGGCGTGTCCTAATTTAGATTCCTGTCCCCATCTATAGCTCCTCCCCCCCAACAACCTCCCTACCCTTTTTTGATGAACCCGCGCTAAATTAAAAGAATAGTCCAGATTATAATTGCTCAAATTGAAGACAAAAGATGCCATGAGGCAATTCCGTGTTTGTTTTTGTGAGGTCCGGCCTGCACTAGCCCAGTTGCCAGTTGGATGTGCATGACCGACCGTGTGACTTTCATAGACGTTTATGTGCATGAGCGACCATGTGACTTTCATAGCCTGGACGTTTATGTGCATGACCGACCATGTGACGTTCATAGCCTGGACGGTTACTTTCCACTCTTTTTTTACCCTAACAACAACATTGCCTAGAGGCTCATGCTGGCTGTACTCGGGACTGAGAGTCAACAGTGGCTGGGCAAGCGATCAGTAAACCATGCAGCAACACCAATGTGAAAGCTGGTTGGTCGGAGTAGGCAACCAAGAACTGCCACCCACGTAGACAGTCCATCCTCTAGCCAAAGAGCCCGGGACATGGCCACTAGTAAGTATATGGCATGTCAGATAGCGAGAAGTCAGGTGGCGAGAGGGTGAGGGAGAGATGGTGGACTTAGAGAAGGAAGAAGAAGTCTCTCTTTCTCTCTTGTGCCAAGTACTAACTTGTGAAGGTGGGGCCTTGTTGCAGGTACATCGAAGACAAAGCTGGGGCTATGGCGCCACAGGTAAGTCTCCCTGGCCTCCGCCACCTCTCTCTCTCTCTCTCAACGCTACTCTAAGCTCCTACAGCGCCCAGCGCTGAAGACTACACCTAGCGCTACCTACTATTACTGCAGCGCTCCTCCGAAGTGCTGCGGCCGAATCCTGAAGACTGCCTCCTGAACTGCCCGTGAAATGCCTGTGAACTCCCCATGAACTGCCTGCAGCCTGCAGGGCGGACCAGTACTATATAGTGCTGGTCCGGCTGGGAAGCTGCTCTTGCCCATGCCTAAAAATGGCCTGCGCTTAAACCCTGGTCTGGCGCCTAAGTTTCAGGACAGGTCGACTTTACGAGGGCCTGAAAATGGCCCTCCTTTTTAGGCTTTTAGGCTGAAACGACACACGGCCTGGAGGGCCCTTATTTTTCGTCTGGTCGGGTCCTGGAGGCCCGTGTGGATGCGCAGTATGCCACACCCCCCCCTCCTTGAAAGACCGAGCTTACCTGCGAGGGCAAAGCTGCCTGTCGGAGGGAGGGACCAAAGTCCGGGTGGGAGGGGCAGGTCGTGAAGCTTCCTTAGCCAGTCTTTGTCGTTCGTAGTGAGCATAGAGCTGCCTGTCGG